CAGCTTCATTACTCCAGTCTTCAGTGTCACATGATCCTTCAGAAATCATTCTAATATGCTGATTTGCTGTCCAGGAAACATTTCTTATTACCAATGTTTTGCTGCTTCAAATTTTGGGGGAAAACTGTGATACTTTTTTTTTTCAGGATTCTTTGAATATTTCCAAAAGAACAGCATTTATTTGGAAAATAAAACTTTTGTATCACTATAAATGTCATTATTGTCACTTCTGATCAAGTGAATGCATCTTTGAATGCATGACCCCAAACGGTGTTTCATTGCATATAAAATGAAGGCAAGTATTGGTAGAAGCAACAGAAAACATAATAGCCAAAATTTTTGTGATGGAGATGTTGCAGAAGATAGAACTGTAGATTCATTTGTGGATGAGGAAGGAGAAGGAGTAGGAGGAGGAGGAGGAAGACCAGGACAGCTGTAACTGTAGTCAGGATCAGCTCCAGCAGAGGTAAACTGCACAAAACCTGGAGGATCGCTGCACACAAAGGAGCTGATCCATTCCTGATAACGTGATACTCTGACGAACACTCTAGGAGTTTCAGGTCGAGCACAGCCAATCCCAAAGCTAACGATACCGGACTGAACCCATACAGAGCTCTGCCTGCTCACCATCGGACCTCCTGAATCCCCCTGAAAATGCACATCAATAAAATAACTGTAGAAAGAAACGTACACTACCATTCAAATATTTGGTGTCAGAAAGATTTTTTATTGTTTTGTTTTGTTTTTTCAAATAAATGTAGCCTTGGTGAGCAAAAGCATTAAAATCTTACTAACCCCAAACTTCTGTATGGTATTACATGTTGGCTACACCATAATTACAATACATACACATTTGCCAAAATGTAACTTGTTATTAAAATCAAACAGTTTGTTACCAAGTATCTAAAAAATTAAAAAACAACCCATCTCTGAATATTAGTGCTGTCAAACGATTAATCGGGATTAATCGCATCCAAAATAAAAGTTTTTGTTTACATAATATATGTGTGTATACTGTGTACATCAATTATGTATATATAAATACAAACACATGCATGTATATATTTAAGAAAAATATGTTATATTTATATATCAAATATGTTTATATATAACATAAAATATAAGAATATAAATGTATATACGTGTAAATATTTTCAAAATATATACTGTGTGTGTGTGTATTTATAAATACATAATAAATATGCACAGTACACACACACACACACACACACACACACACACATTATTTTGGATGCGATTAATCGTCTGACAGCACTACTTATAAGCC